CCCCTTCCATCAGTGTCCAGATGGCTGCACGCCACCTCCTCCTGCCCACTGCTTCACATTCAGTGTGCCACGGTGCTTTTTTTATTTAGATAAGTGTGCCATGGGGCAAAAAGGTTGGGAAACTCTGCTTTAGTTACTAGTTTAGGATACTGCTTATACCAATATTGGTTATGCATTTTCAGGCACATGTGTTATTTTAAGTTGAGAGTGCCTCCAACATGTCCAGTGATATAGGAGAATTTAGAACTTTATAGAGAAAGATTAGTAAAACAAAATAATTTCACTTATTTTTTCCAAGCCATAAAAAAAAAAAAAATTGCATGTTACATTTTAAGTCATATATATAGGCAAACCAATCCAGTTGGAATCAGAAAGAGGGAAATGTTTTAAAAGATACAAAAAAAATCAACAATAAATTCTCTTTATATTAGGAATTTTTTATGGCACTCATCACCTATAGATATGGTAAGTGAACTATGGAGTTTTATTTTGATATATCTGCATATTATGTCATGAAATACAGCATATTAATACAGCTTTATTTTAGGTGACAGATTATGATTGGGATAAATATGGCTGCCTAATGGAGGTTTACTACAGAGATCCTTTTCGCCCTGATATTGCTCTGTAAGTACAGTATTGTATAGCAAGAGGCAGATACCTTCCCCAAGGCTGTATAGTGCTATGAAGCTTCAAAAATACAGCTTCAGTCCAATGGTGAGCGTTACATTAGTAAATATCAATGTTCTGTAAGCCCAGGAAGGAAGATCTACATAAAGAGCACTTACATGCATGCCCAAAACCTGCACTGACATGTGCTCAGTTAATTGAGTCTGCTGGAGTGTGCTAATTAGCACGCTCCAGCAGCCTCAGTGTCACATGTATTCAGCATCCCTGTACTTCAAAATGGCGGCAGGGGGGATTTAACTAAAGTTAAACAGCCCCTGCTGGCCTTCTTGATGTGCAGGATGCTAAGAACATGAGATGCTGCAGGCTCTTTAATTATTGCTGCTCCCCTTCCCCCCACCCCAGCACATGTAAAGATGCCTAAAGATCCTTCAGTCTCATCCATGTTGTTGTCCTCTCTTTGTCCCAGTTCACAGTTGAGTAGGGTGCTTGTGGGCTCCCTGCATATCTCTCACTCTTCTTGCACATAGATACCTTATTGTCCATGATTCTCTCCATGGCCGTGTATTCAAAGGCAGAATTTGTCCATTGGTGTGCTACTGCTTTTATTAAATTGACATTGCAGTTATCTTTTATTTTTTACAGCTATGATGGCAACACATTTGTTAAAATGGTTGAGGCAAATTATATTTTATGGGAGATTAAAGGCAGAACTGACTTTGGATACAACTCATCTATGGCAGATGTAAGCCTCCTTTTCTTTAGACAACATTTTTAAATATATGAGCTGTAGAATTGGTTAGACACTGTACCAGGCAAAGGAGAAACGTCATAGGGTTGCTGTGCTCTCCCCTAGTGCCCCCTACCATGCCAACTTTGCATTAATGCACCTTTGGTCTTGGAAACACGCCCCACAGGCACTCTGGCTTTCTGCAGCCCCCTTTCTGGGGCTTCTCACTGCCCCCTCTGCAGAGCTTCTCACAGCCTCTCCTCTGGGGCTTCTCTGGGGTCTCCACACAGCCATGGCTCCCCTGTGAGGCCTCCTCCATCCCCTAATAGCCTCACCCAGCCCTCCGGTAGTAAACTGCAAACAGAAAACTCAAGCCCCTGGACTGCAACATAAATTCAAGCCACTCCACTAAAACATTAGTCCCGCCACGTGAGGGGTGCTCTATCCTTCCCCAGTCTCAGAGCTGTACCTGCAGTCTAGCGTTGCCTCTCCTCTCCAGTTGGGCAGAGCTCCTTCCCCTATGGCTGCTAGCAGGGAACTGCCTGCCTGGCTTCAGCCTGGGAGTTATATGGGAGCCAGGCCCTGCCCCTTCCAGTCAGCTGACTCCCTGGCAACCCACAGCTGGGCTCCTCACTTACGGCTCCACAAGTAGCAGGTACCTCAGCGCCCTGCTACAGACACAAAGTTTGACTTTTTTTATTTATGTTTACTTTTCTAACCAGGTATAAATAAACTGACAGCTACTCTTCGAAGGGAAGTATTAAGTCACAGGTTTCACTACTTACAAACTTTAGCATGTTATTTACTGGTTTTACCAGCATAAATTGTTCAAAATCAATTGCGTGAACCATCAAAATTAAAAGATAATTTAAGAGAAGAGGGAAAAAAAAAAAAGAGAGAGAAAATACATGGCAATGAGTGAAAAAGAGAACCATGAAAATCACCTTGACTTTTAGTCTGTGTTCTTGTGTTTGTGGGCAACATACGTGAATAGCTATTTGCTATACATGACTAACACATGGCATCCATATGGCTCTTAAAATAAAATTCTGTGAAGAATATAGCTGTGCAAATTAGATGCAACTGAAAGCAAAATAATGCCTTCATTTTTAGACAGAGTGACAAAGTTTACAGGCTATTAGGGACAGGTCATGCTATGAAAGAAAACATGGGGAAAGCTGGACAATAGAAACAGGACTGTGAAGCTTTCTGGGCAAGTGCCCTAACCACTCATCTATTGGGCTAAGACACGGGAGGCTTCTTCTCTGGAGTCTAACACCTGCTAGTAGTAGGTTTCCAGCTGTTTACATTTTCATGCTGTGGAGACTCATGTCCACAACACTGCCACATACATAGTTGTGCCAACTACCACGTGTTGGGTGTGTGCACACATGCTTATGCATCCATTTTACCAGCATTAAAATTGCTACCTGCATATATGGCATGTTTGGCACTTAAGCAGCTAAACAGCTAACCCTTAGATTCTCAAACCCCTTACTCAAGTGATCCCAAATATAGACCCCTACACCTTGCACCCTCCATGAAATAAAGTGTTAAGACAATTCAAGTGATTTTTAGAGCACTTAGGACAGTTGATCTTTAAATTACTAAATTCTCACTATTAACTACAGTAGAGTTAGGGCCTGCCTACAGTGATTAATGAAAGAGGACATGTGGGGGTCACTGTCCTACTCATTCTTTTTTAATGCCATAACCTTTTCTCAGTGCTTCACTATATTGGTCCCTTTTTCTGAAGCACATATTGCTTTTGTGGTGCCAACTCCTAACAGAATTCAGTGCAATATTGTAGCTGCTTTTGAGGGCTAGAAGTCCACTCATTGTCATTCTTTACCAGCATAATATTTTTGCAGCCATTTTACTACTACAGGCATAATCTTCTCCTTTTAATGTTTAATTCTCTTATAATTGTACCTGTGTGCTTTCACCTTAGAAGCTATAAGAGAAATATACATAAAATAGATTGAAACACAATGCCATGCTGTGCTCATGTATGCACTGCTACCATCAGCTGATTCACAGACACAGAGGCTAATATCCTTTTTTGTGTGTTTTATATTTTTTAACAGGTAGGCTGTTCACGTGAAGCACAGAATTGGTTTTCACTGCTTGAGAACCATAAAAATCAAGAAATTGAATTAGATGACATTTGGGGGCCACATGTAAGAAGTTACATTTTTAGAAATAACGTAATAATATGAATACACTTTGCAGTTATCCAGTTTGTACTGGATAAACAATTAAATATTTCTCAGGGAGAAGGAAAGGTAAAATAAAAACAGCTGCTTTCATATCTGTATACCAGCCTTAGAGTACTTTCTTTTAAAAAGTTCTAAAATTACTTAAAAATGTTAACTACCATATTTGATAGTATTTTCCTTACTATTTGAGATGTTACTTCTGCCATTTTTAGAAAGGATTATTATTGAGACATTTACATAAGCTTCTAACTTTCAGAATAAGTATTTATTGTACCTTCTGAGAGAAGACGATAGTTATTTTTGCTCTTGGCTGACCAGAATCCCATTGGAAATTCAGTCCCTGCTAAGACCCCTACCAGTGCTAATAATGCAAGGTACATAGGAGCCATGGCCTCAAGTCTCATTTTCTCCATGCTAGCCTATGTAGCTGGCTGAATGTGGAGAAGGAGAGTATACTGTACAGACTTTGAAGAGTTACTACCTTGCCATATATACCCAAAAATTTCTTCTGGGGACTTCAACCATGATGTGACCTCTCCATGCCCCTTCAGACTTAGGGCAGTACCTTCCCTAAGTATGCATTATTGCTTTGAAATATTTTTTGAGGCTTATTCATTTTCTATGTATTTTATATTTTGTCTGCCAGTCTTGGTTTATTGTACTTGGATATGGAAACCAATAAATTATAAGGCAGATCAATAAATCTCCTACTGAGTGCAGAAAACTTATTAGAAGTGCAGTTAGTTAAAGGAATTTTTTTGTTGTTGTTCTGGCTAGATTTGGTTTCTTCTTATCCTGCTATCAAAAGAAAAAGACAGTCAGAAGTGGCGTAATTTAGTTAGTCTCTAATTGGTGTATGCTTATTGAATCCTCATGTACTTGTCTTTTTTTTTAGCTGTTACAAATCCAGAACCCTGTATGTGGGTCTGTTTCTAACTGGTTTTCAAAAATAGCCCAAGAGATAGAGAAACTCTTTTTTGTTTCTGTTTAGAATTATAACTCCTGTTTTGAGTTCTCACATGAAAATCTGCAAGACCTAGCTCAGCAGTATCACATTTTAAACCGCTCTGGTTTAAATTCGCTTATTTGGAACACGGAACAGTCTGGCATTTATGTGTTCAAAGTGAAGATACTGGATCCAAACTTCAGGTTAGCTCTTCATTTTTGCAACATGAAAAGTTTATTTTAATGGTTGATTTAGGACAAAAGTGATAAAAATACCGCCTATTGACATTTTAAAAAAAATTTTGCTTAAGATATACTTTGGTCTTAGAAGTTCTTGTTATTCTCCAATACACATAGCTAGAATTGAAATACAGTTCAGATACAGTTTTGAAAATCCTCCACCTTTTCTTATTTCAGCTAATAATATTCCTGCTTAAATTCTTAGTCATCTCTCTCCTAGGCTGTTTTCAAGCTAGTCAATTGGCTGGTCAAAAAATATCAACTGATTGGTCAATTGACTGCCTATTAGTTGACCACAGTTAAAAATTGTCAAATATTTCCTGAAACCGAGAATACCTTTGTGTAGGTGGTGGTCTACCTTGTTCTGTTTATTTGTTTCATCATGTCATCTATTGGCAAGAGCAGAAATGAGGGGTCCTTGCCCCTCAGTCCTCCAGAAGTTAAGATAGACACATATACACATGCTTTCACTGTCACAGGAACAGGCACCTCCTGTCCTGCTCCTCTCTTCCGAGTTTTTCCTTTCCCCTAATTAAGCCATGTGGGGCTGAAGACCTATTTATTATACAAATAAGGGGGCACATCTACACATGCATTAAACGCACTTAATTAATATGCATGAAATATAGTACCTCAGGGCATTTTTACAAGTGCTCTGGGAGGCATGGGGGGGGTGCTTTAATTAGTGAGCTGTGCTAATTAAAAGGGCCCAAGCATCACATGTATCAGTGTCCCCAGTGCCAAAAATGGCAGCGGGGTACTTTCAATTAAAGTTCAAGCTTTAATACAAAGTGCCTCACCACCATTTTTTGGCACACAGATGCTGATACACGTGATGCTAGTCTGCTGTGATGCACTGGATTTCCAGCACAGAGCCAGCTCCCTGAACGTGTATAGGAAACCTCCATTGTGAGGTACTAGGAAAATGTGCATTAGCCTGTGTTAATGCGCAGTAACTAAACAGCATGGATTTTAAGTGATGCTTAATGCACATTAGCCTATTTTAATGCGCATTAACTAAATAGCACTTTTTTTAGTGATGGGTTAATGTGCATTAAAGTAGGCTAATGCATATGAAAGCACATGTCGAGGTGCCCAGTGATAGAAGGATTAAGCCCAGAGGAGCTTGTAGCATTTAGTGGCTTTTGCAAACTTTAAAGGCTATTTAAAAACAAAACAAC